ACCCTCTAGGATATGTTACCTTGTCAGATATATTGGCATTTTTATCGGTTAAAGCAATTTGGTGTTATAGAGAATTTATAAAAATTTATATATCCTTGCTGTTGATTTAAATGATTGGAAACATTGATTTATATAAGATATAGATTTATTTTGATTAATGGTAATAAGACTTTTAGTCAAGTGAAATAATAAATGATAAGTAATAAATACTTTTGGCATAAATATGGTTTTCAGAAGATCAAAATTTTATTCATCTAAATTTAAAAATTATTTATTATATTTTTAATTTTTTATCACTCTTTTTAATATATTGTTTGTTTTGGTTCAAACGGTTGGTATTACTGCATTAACAAGTACTTACACTTCAATTTGTTTTGAATGCAGTTTGGACGATTAATAAACTTCAGGGATTAACACTTTGCAAATCTGGCTAATGGCATCGTTTAAAAGATATAAGTCAATTTTTATATTACATGTTTACAATTTTAGGAGCAGACACTGCATTGAATTATTGTGATAACTAGTTTTTAACAAAAGTCTATTGCTTTGGCAGAAAGTTTAAGGTAAACCAACCATCACGTTTAACATGGGATAATGGAGGCTTACACGTTAACTTAAACAGTTTGGCTTGGAGCACAGACAGGTCAAAAATGGATGAAGGCTAGTGTATATGGACCCGTTTAACATGGGATAATGGAGGCTTACACCTTAACTTAAACAGTTTGGCTTGGAGCACAGACAGGTCAAAAATGGATGAAGGCTAGTGTATATGGACCCAACACTAGAATTTCAGGGGCAATGAACATATGGCTGAGTAAAAATGAAAAATAGTAATTAATCGTCAGAAAATTATTATTTTATTTTAATGTAGAAGATGCGTATCAGTACTTCATAAAACGCGTAAAAAATGTGTTTCACTGCATTTCTATCTACGTATCGCTGAAATGTGAAGTGACTTCAAACGGTTATTTATGTACAAAATGTACGAAAATGATCTTAGTCAAAAATTTATAAATTCGCACTACCGCTAGTAAAGTCGGGACTATTTACGTTATGATTTTTTAATTCCAGTGACCAGTCATCACTGTTGTTCGGGCATCGTTGGTGGCGCTTGGGTGTGTTGGAGGTGGAGCAGTCGCTAGGCAGGAGCCGTCAAATAGGAGCTTCCGATATGCCTGGGTGCGCTGATGAGGTACTGAGTGCATGGGTTCATAATCATTACGGTGGTCCATGAGGGTGACAATCTGACAATTGGATGTCTGACGATTGGCGCCTGGATGTTTGGACGCCAGCGCCCAATCTAACATATAAGGAAAATGGTATTTCTTAGACAATATTCTTAGCTATAAACTAAAAAAATATGCTATAAAAATAAAAGATTAAAGATAGTTTTGAAGGCGATCGTGCGCCAGGATCCACGTATTCTGAGTAAGGGCCTATTGCGTTACCATCAAGTTTTTGTTTTAAGATGTCCCCTCTTAATGATTTAGTTTCTAGAGACTTGATTATAAAATATTTGATGACTAAATAGATAATAAATATTTTAATGAATAAATCAAATTTTCTTACGTTTAAATAATTCACCTTCCGTTTTTATGTTTCAAAAATGTTTACTTGAACTTTTACTGAATTTTTATCTAAATTTATATTTTTTGATTTCATTTGTTCTAATGCATATAAAATTAAATTGTTTTAAAGTTGGTAGCACTGTTCCCAATTCCGCCCTTTTTACCAACGGAGTTAAAGGCTTTCAATATAAATTAGTTGCAATAAAAAATAAATTGTTTTAATTGGGTACTTTTGATGTAATCTATTAACAGATTTTTAAAAGGGTATAAAATATTGTATAACTTTTAAAAAGAGATACAAATCAATGAACAATCCCTCCTTCACTCCCCTCTTCGTCATGAATATTCATTAAAATTGTTGTTCACACAAATGTACGGTCTTGGAAAGAGATTAATGTGTGCATTTTGCATTTCGTCCTTTTCTGATTCCGACTGAGTTACATAAACAAAATGTTTGCCTAACTTCAAAAGCGTGCTCATCCAATATGTCATGCCTACCGCCAATGTAAACTGAAAATACTCAAATGACACGAACCATCAAACTGCAGCATCTCTCTAATCCTTTTTCAAATTACAAGGATAAAGTCTATGCGCAAGCAACAAACACATCCTGTTTTGGAAATAAAAATTCAAAACATTTCAATTACTGGTTGTGTCGATGCACTGCAGTTTGTCGATGTTTAAGCCCAGGGCTTAAGTTGTTTGTATAGAGTATAGCCGTTACACATATTGTATTATAATAATTAATTATGCTCATATGTATATATTATTAAATCGTTAATTTAGAAGCCATTTATGTACATAATTCATACAATGTTATTTAAATAAAATATATTCATAAACATTTTCTAAATTAGACAGAACCATATGATATTATAACTTACAACATATAACTTCAATTGGAATAGCCATCGCCTTATATGCCCACCTAAAAGACTGTACTAAGTAATATTTCATTTTAAAGATTCCTGTCAAGGTTCCTGGTTCTCATTTGCTTAGCTTTCTAACTACTATGTTATTATATATATTTTGTAAATACATTTATTTTGATCCATATTCTGGTCTTTACATGATTTCCATTAGGTCATACCTCGGATCTATATGTGCGAACTATTTTCGTATTACAATATCATTGCTTTCTATAAATTTAAATCACTTCTAAGCTCTAAACTGTTGCTTCCTAGCTACGACTATTATCTGATATTATATATATTTTGTAAATACATACTTTTGATCCATATTGTCTTTATATGATTCGCATTCGTTCTTATCTCGGATCTATATGCTGCCTATTCTTTTATTACAATATTATTTAAATAGAAAGTTCTAAATTTCTAAACAATTAGAAGGAGAAATATTGGAAAGTCTTAGAATTATTTTAAAATATTTCATATATTTTCGGGATGGTAAGAATTACTAATAAAACCAATTTTAAACTATACTTCAGTATATAGATGTAGGTTGCATAAATTTGTGGATCTCTTATCGTAATCGTAATTGAGCAATAGTTAATAGATTTCAGCTTTTTCTATTATACGCGTCTTCTGTATTAAAAGCGAAGTAACAAAACATCTTTGTAATTTGAAATGCATTACAGACAATTGCAGCTTTTATATATACCATATATATTAGTTATCTTACAGAAACCTATTTTACCTCCTAACAAATTCGATATTGTAATTTTGAAGAGAAGTGAATAGAATAACCAAAACCATACAGCTCTATAATGAATGTGTTTAGTTCAGCGATGGCTTAAAACTTTACGAACTACTGAGGTCTATAAACAAGGCTTCATGTGTGACCATCTTTATCAAAAAGATTCCCAATATTTTAGACAGAAGTGCATGCTTCAGATAGTAACACATGACCATAGCAATAATATATATTTTTATATACAAGTAACTATAAAATTGTTCCAGTTTCGGTTCACTAAATTTAAGTTGCCCTTTGTTGTAAAAATATCAAATATAAGTGTTAAGTACGAAAGTATATTACTATATAGAATACTTCCTTTGTTAGAATATCATATTCGTAGGGAATGCGCGTAACAAAATAGATGACAAGTTTGTAAAGGATTTCTTTGCAGGTTCCTCACTCCGTTGGGAGATATCAACTTATATGACTGAACCAGTGTTGAGAACTATCAAATAGAAATTGCTGGTGCAGACGTAAACCGATGCCTATGACTAAATATCTTATAAGAAAGGTATAAGGAAGGTATAAAGAAGTATAATCGAATTAAAACAAAAAAATTCTAATAAGTTGCATAGTTTTAATAGATCTCAACTTGAATTATAATTATTATGACTGAACATGCTTGTTAACTTAGACATACGAAACAGCAGTAGTGCATCCAAAGATAGAATTATGGGATGGACTCCCATTGAAAGTATGGGCAAAAAATTTTTTACTTGTGTTGTCTTTCTTATCTTGGCATAATTATGAACATCCTACCGAGTGAGTGAAAGGTTATGTGAAATGCAAATATTTTGGGGTTCTGCGATTATCAGGGGTTTATAATATTGTCAGGTCGAAATGTTTATAGGAAACTAAGATCTAATATGAAATTTTTAATATAATAGGGCGTAGTGTGATACAGTGCTTTAAGTGAGTTGTAAATTTAAAATATTTATATATTTCTAACTAATCACTCTTCCTTTCAACTAAAGTAAAGTACATAGTTATAATAAAACAATTTAGTTCATTATTTATGGATGGAAGTAGTAAGGTTGGTTATCGGTATTATAGTGCGGATAATGAATGATATCAAATGATTAGTGGAAATTAATAAAAATTAAATTTTTTTCAGCTATTTCTGAATTCTATTTTTAGATTCTCCCTATGAAGAAATGTTTGACTTATAGCACCTATAGATTAATATAAGCCACAGCAATATGAAACACTCTTTCATATCAAATTTTCATTAATAACAAAATTTATCACTACTATCACTTTAATGAAAACACAACTAAGGTTCTCAAGTTACTTTTGAAGACACTGTCTTTAAGAATCCCCGATAGCGTTCAATTCACTAGAGGCAAAACTACCAAAATGTACTTAGTAAATTGAAATAACGAATAGCATTTATTTTGATATATATATGAACGATATGTAAAATATGAAACGCATCTACCTCTCATGACAAGTACGCAAAATTTTCAAAGACATTTATTCATGTATGTTTCCAAATGTCTCTAAAGAACGTCATATATTTAGATTAATCATTCTTCAGTACGTATTCATGTCTTGAAAATATTTATAACTTATAATGATGTATAGTAAATTTTAGGGATATAAGAGCAATATAGTTTATGAAATATATATCGGTAATTATGAAAAAACCTTCGTCCCTTGTTATTTTTTTCTCTTCTACTTTTGTGTTTAAAAATTTCTTTTGTATGATTTTTATTAAATTTTTATTTATCTTCTCGGTAAATACAAATTAAAATTAAATAGAATTTAGTAAATAAAGATATATAATTTTTTGTTAATATATTTAAAAACGTTTTGCCTGTCTAGCTATGCTTTAAACACGAATAATCTATCAAAATCCGTCAAAGTATTACGATATTCCTCATCCGAAATTAAAATATCGTCGAAATTATTTACCTTTACATAGGGTACAGTGCATATGAACTTATTTGTAATGGAACATGCTTTCAGTACAGGTTTATTTATCATGGAAGTACCTGATTCTCTAGAATAGTTATTCTCAACTATTTTCTGATGTTTAATAACTCCGTTTTCAACATTTTCAGTATATTTTTTAGACGTACCTATCGACTTTTTAGTGTTATCATTTTCTTTTTTCACTTTTCTTTCCGGAACTCCAAAATATTTAGCATGTCTATCATCAAGTCTGGACATTACTCCACTTTTCAAACCTTCTAAGCTGCACTTATAAATATTATGGTTACTCATTACAGCAGGACTACCGTTTTTAAATTTTGTTGAATGTGGTTGACTTTCTATTTTTGTTTGAAATGTTGTAATTCCAAAATATTTAGCAAATTTGTCATCAATTTTAAGCCCTCTTCCTATTTTTAATGCATTCATACTTTTGTTTAGGGAACATGGGGGCAAATCCTGTTTCTGGGCTATGCACTTCAATTTTATTTCTTCATTGTCAGAGCATGATTCCGAAGATTCTACATTTTCTGAATTGCATTCCTCCGTATATGCTTCTGCATATCTATATAGGCTACATGTCTCCACCTCTTCTCTCAATTCTTCCTCTACGATGTGTGTAGAGTTTTTATTAAACGACGATTTTACATTACAAACATAATTTTTATTAACTTCTTTTGCATTCCCTTCACTTTGATCATGCATGTTAGCTGAAAGTAAATACTTATTCAGGTTCTTAATTGAACGAAACTTTAAGGGATCATATGCCGTTTCAGGTTTAATGAAATCCGGTAGGAAAGATGAAGAACTATTGTCTATGCTTACTTCTGTCAACTTAGTCTTGGATTTTGTCTGACTATTTTCCATTTGAATACATGCTGGGATTTTCAAAGATGATTCCTTAATAACAGGAATACAATCTGTTATAATTGATTTCATGGCATTGCCGAGTGCGTAATTTTGACAATCTATGTGAAAAAATATTAAGGTTAAGAGTTTTTCAACAATTTTAATGATATAGATTCTTAAGATGAATGAAACGCTAACAACAACTTTTCTTTATTTCTTGCTCTAATAATCATAAAAACTAATTATTTTTACATTGCTATTGTCTTAAAATCAATATTATAAGATTAGAAATCAATAAATGTTAAGCTCTATCGGCGAACATATGACATGTAGATTATTTTGCAGATTGTAAAACTTGTCTATTTTTTAACTTATAATTCGATTTTAATGAGATAATATATTAATGCGGCGTAAAATATTGTTTTATGTAATATTCGGCACTCACTGATTTCTTCAACTGCTTCAGTCCCATTTTCATATAAAAATTCTGTTATCGGCTCAGTAGAGTTCTCCATAATTTGGGAGCCGTGATGTTTGTGGTGAGGAAATTGTAACGCAGCTAAAAATAAAATGTAAATATTTAGAAAAAATTATTGAATATTAAGGTATTTTTGTATCTTAATATAAAAAAGATGTTAACTATATACAAATATACATAAACATTATACCTATATAGTATCTACAAGCAGGGCCGTAGCTTACAATTCAAATATTCAAAAAAAATTTCCTTCGTTGAAAATAGTTGTAATGCATTGAAAATGACTAAATATATAAAAATCTAGACGTCAGTTCATTAAATCTTTAGTCCCCTCAAGATCTCCAGAACACTAGTTTATATACAGGGATGTTTGTAAATCAAAATAATTAATTATTAAATGACATACGTATATAAAGTTCAAATTTTTTTCTAAATAATTGATTAAAAAATGGATTAGATGAGAGTATACTTGATTTATTTCATTATAGGAGTCTTGATCTCAAGTGGATTAATCTTTAACCAATACATTTCGTTGTGCTTCGATTACTCTTCAATTAGGTACATTTGTTTTTGTTTAGGTTTTATACTACATAAGTGGTGTGTGGGTACTCCTGCAAAGAATGCCTTATTTGTACTTATGGTAGATACACTAACCACCACAAATATTTACTTTTAATTATTTTTAAATCTTATTTAAATAAAATTTTTTACTACTATCTTAACTCTCTCTCTTATAATATTATAGTTAACTACTTTATAGTTTATTAAACTATAACAATAGTATTATGTTCACTAAAATATAAAAACCAGAAAAGCAATAGCTCTAATATAATTTTTAAACAGTTGATCAGAAAAGTTCCGGAAAGTTGGTTCTAAACGACTAATTTGGAAGTCAGATGCAATATATCTTTTTATCCTTCCCATTCATACAGTTAGTGAATCTAAAGTACTTATACATTTGTATTAACCTACCCAACTAAAGGAGTTTAACTTTAACTATGTTTTAAAATACTTCCGAAAAACTTCAATTTGTATCTTCAAATTGTTATATTTATTTAATTTAAAGTTAATCACTTACTTTTTTCTGGTATTGTGTTTCCCTGCTGTAAGTTTCGAAATAAGTCCAAGCATTCACAGGTGCTAGATTTTTTTTTCCTCTTAATTGCTTTACAGTTTTGTATTTTCCCACTCTCAACACCATGAGAATCCCTCTTCCAAGTCAATGTTGCGTTGTTTAGGTCTAAAAAGTCCTTGTGCGTTTCAGACATTCTTGATGTATATGAGACGATTTTCAAATCAGAGCAGAAAATTTTTATGAAGCTCTATTGCTAAACATTCTTATACTTTTTTAATTTAAAAAAATAAAAAATTGATTTGAATATATATAACATAACATATATCAATTTTAAAATTTTGTCAAAGGTATACATATCTTTCAAAAATTTCTATTTCAAGATAAATAATATCTGTAGGGTACACATTTTAAAATCGGATCTTCAACATTTATTATAGAGACTGAAATCAACTGAATGCATTCCACATCAGTCACATAAATATGAGATCATCCGTTCACAAGTAGTAAAAATCAGAGCAAAATATTAGTCCTGTTCCTCTCTTACTATTCAATACAATTTTTGTGGTGATAGAACACTGCTTAATTAATTGGAAGACATAGGGTCTAATTAGGATCTTTTTTTAATAACTGTTGTCGTAGGTATGGATCTGAAAAGCAAGAGCAAGAGAAAAATGTTAGTTATCTATTTTGTCTGGTATTTAAGCGTCTACCTTATACTACCAAAATAGTCATTAAAAATATTTCCTGCTTTTTAAAAATGATTTTGTGGTTTCCCAGTTCAAAGGTTGGTACTTTTATTTGAAGTTCCATAATAGACCCACTTTTATGAGCCTAAGTGATTCACGTCTTTTACTTTGAATGATGTATACTATGCGGTCTACTTGTAAAATGTATTGGTAAAACCACATTATTTTATTTTTATGGTAAATAAATTTAAATTGACAAATTAATAAAAAAATTTAACATTATAACCGTGTTTTTATTTTTGTCGAAAACAACTATAAACGTATGTATTTGTTTTTGTGGTCCTTCAATCTGTACAGTGATTGGTATTGGTCCGCGAATGCATCTGATCTGGACAGCCTTGGTGTATACTATGAGGGCTGCCCATAATATCCATTATCCAAAATTTGGTAAACTTATTTAAATCCAGTAATTTAGTGCTTCTTAGTATTTATATCTAGTAACTTATTTATTTTTTTATAATTTTTTTTTATGCTTTATATACTATTAATAGCATATAGAGAAGTAAGGCATATAATGTAATGTAAGGGTATGGTAGGGATTAACTAGAACACTTAGAAAACGAATCTGATTTACTAGCTTCATTCTAATAGTCTACACAAATAATATTCTTCTTTAGGCCGTGTGCGAGTTCGAGTAGATTGAGATAAATTAATTTAAATTTCCTAAGGATTTTTTGTACTGTATTTATGTAAATATTTATTTATTTATTTATTGCACTTATTTATTATTTTTGGTTAAAAGTTTTCTAACTTCTTTATTTATTTATTAAACATCTTATAAAATTTTCAAAATGGTAACACTTAATTTAACTAATTTTTCTCTAATTTACCCTACTCGATATTCTGGTAAATACCAACATTCGCTGCCATACCGACATTATTTACTATTTCCCTCAATTTACGAGAACTCGCACACGGCCTTAAATTCAATTGAACAATCCAAGTAGATTATAAGAGCTATTGCCAATCCATATAATTGAGAAATGATTTCGGGTACTAAAAGTTTAATGGATAAATTTTTGTATTACCAAAAAATCTATTCATGTTGTATCTAATTAGGAACTGCTTTAATGAAATCACTTGCCTATTATCAAAATGTGAAACTTAATTGAGATGCGGTTAAAATAGTTTACTAAAGCTATGTAAGTATCTATTATATTTTATGCAGTTTTGACAATTATGTTTACTTTAACAAAAACTCGAATAAATGTATCTTTTTTCATAGCAGGAAATTCTGAAATCATTGCTGAGAAGTAGAGGTGCTGAGAAGTATTTAGTATCTTATTTTGCTGGCACTTAACTTTACTCCGTTGTGCGCAGACTCTTTTTACATAAAAAAGCCACTCTAAGAAGCTTCTTTATGTCAATTTATGTGTCTAATTTCCAGCGCTTGTTTGTGAGATAAAAAGTCAATATTGACTTTGAAGGCTTCTTTTGCCCTAGCGTAACGTAACGTTGTGTGTTTATCTTTAGTTTAGGTTTATCGTTATGTTGACAGCTTTTTTTCTTTTTAAATTAATTTAAAATTCAATTTGTAATTAATATAAAATGAGAAAATCTTAGAAATGTATATATATATCTACTAAATAAGAAAAATATCTCTTGTTCATCTTAATAACGATGTGGATACAATAAATTAAAAATCTCGTAATTTTAATTATAAACTCAATGGAAAGTACGGAAGACCTAAAGCTAAAAAATTGCAATATATTTTCTATTAACCCATGCCATCATGGGTTATGTAGGTTAGGTTGAAATGGTATGAAGCAATCGCTTCAAAGTTTATGTTCAAAATGTATGTCAAGCTAAACAATGCCATTGCATTAATAAATGCTTTCCATGAAAATCGCAACATTTTATTTTATCTGATAAATTGTAATGTGCACATAAAATGTTGAGTAAATGCATTAAATTCATACTTCATTAAATGCAAAAATAAAATCCTTTCAAAATGTTCAAGTGCTTTTTGATTGAGCGATTTCACAGACACATCAGCTGAACTCGAATTTTATCGTTCCATTTTCGGTGAATCGCAAGTCTTACTACGAAATTTAATACCCTGCGTCGCTGCCCGGTCTTATGTGACATTATGCGGAAATAGATGAATGTGCATACTTATGTCAATACTTGTGTCAATACTTCATAGAAAATATAAGTTTTATGCAATGAATAGAAAAATGCCAAATAGTTTTTTATATTTACTCTATAATGTTTACACTGAAGTAGCTCACTTCATGGCTTTGTGTTTGTAAATACAAGATAAGAGCGTATGTAAAAGATAGATACACGTAGATATCCAGTCAACATATCGTTCTAAACAATAAACATGTTCCCAGATAAGGTCGTAGTATGAATAGAAAACAGTATGTATGTACGTATATATCTTGAATGTTACATATATACATTGTCTAGACTATTTCTGTCTACTCTTTGCTATTTACTTATAAATTTTATTACTTAAACTACTGCATACATATATTTTAATGTTTTGATAATTATGTTTTTAGTCAAGTCATTTCATTGCTTAAAAGTTGCTTAGATGCTAAAATATCTCATACCATATAGTACTCATTTAAGCAGATACAACATCATCTGCTGAATCTGAAAGATGCTTTAATTCTTCAGCGATTAATGATATGTCAGGCGTGATACGATTTTTGCAGCATGTAAAATGCCAAAAAAGAAGATACACAGTTAAAAACTACAACCAAGATTTATTTTTTCATATATGGACTAACTCGTATTAAGAAACTTCAGTATTTTGGAGATATATTTCAAGCACGCGGCTAAAAGCAAATAGCAGTGTCAAGGCTTCCAATTGCATCTCAAATTTAAATGAATGTTAAAATCAGTTGACAAAATAAAGCCTTCTTTGCTTTAAGAATAAATAGTACTATAGTACTATAAGTATAAATAGTACTATAGTACTATAAGTATAATACTATACTATAGTAGAGTTTTTTAACAATGGCGTTTAACATAAAGTATACAAAAATAGTGTTATAGTAGACCACTATGTAACTGATATATACTTTTCTTAATGCTTTTTTTTACAATAAATGGAAAGCAACGAAAGTCACAGTTTGAAACTTGAACCCACTAAAACCACCTCTTAGAAATGAATATGGAAGATTGCAGCTGCGTGCAGCGGTTACAACCTTATTCCAGTAATCAACAGAGAGAGATTAGAACACGAGGCTTAATACCTAACAGACTAGGTTCATCTAAGCCAGAAAGCATGGGTGTAAAGCAGGGGAATTGGGTGTTAGTGAAGGGGCCGGGTTATTGTGCAAGCGCGGATGTATTAGCGGTAGATTCTGTGACCGGGATTACAAGAGCCGGGATTGAAGAGAGGGATATTGGAGGGATCAGAGTCGGACTTATTGAGGTAAAGGCACAGATGGGGGGAGGGAGGGGGTGTGGGTTTGTGGTGTAAGGCCCGGGCTAAGTCCGTAGGAAGGAATTTCTAATTTATTTTCAAAATCGGATATAAATCCTTGTGTAAAAAGTGTATTGTCACTAAATTCTTTGAAATAAATATTTAACCTTCTTAACAAAGAATGCTTGCCACTTTTGGGTATTTATATAATTAAAGATATGTAATGTGCTTCAAAAATATATAATTACTAGAAGAATGTTTTAAAATTTGAAAAAATTATTTAAAATTACAGCGAAAAAGGTATATTGTTTGATATGCAAAACTTATAAGTGTAAATATATGTAACATATACTATATAAGGCTCTGTTTATAACGCGTAAGTGGAGACAAAATCCGTCGATAGTGAGAGTGGGTGATATAGTTATAAACTTGGAGGATAGCGTGAAATATCTCGGTATCACGTTGGACAAACGATTCACATGGCTTAAACATGTTCAACTGAAAAGAATTAACTGGGCCAAAATTCTTCATCACCTCCAACCGCTATTCAGAAATGAAAATCTCAATGCTAAGAATAGGAAACTGATATATAACCAAATAATTTGTCCGTCACTTCTATATGGTTGTGTAGCGTTTAGCAAAGCTTCAAACACTACTATACGACAGCTAAAAATTGCACAAAGCAAGGCTCTGAGTAGACTTTTTAAAGTATCATGGTACATTAGAATGAATGACATCCTCAGGAACCTCAACATTGATCCCATCAAAAAATACATAAAGGATAGAGCCCTGAAGTTAATTACGAAAACTGACAGACTTATCAACAGCGTGTTATCTGATCACAGAATGGTTACAGGCTCCTCGGGAAGGTATGCAGATCTGAGGTCAATTATTGCTTAGTCTGATGAAGTGATAAACAATAATCCAGTCAAGGCGTAAAGAGCGGTTTTAAGATACCTCGAGTTAAGAAAGAGTAAAAGTGCTCAAGTGCACTGGCTCAAATAAAAATAAATAAATAATATACTACATATAATACTACATGTGTGGTGTTTATAATATAAATAATATATTTTAATCAGATTTTTCTCTCCAAGTTGATATTATATTATAAAAACCGATATTAAAGTTCTCACAGCGTCCCTTGCAAAGCTCTCCA